GGCGCATGACGATTCATATCATCTGGATTACGCATAGCTTCTCTGCGATTTACGCTCCGTAAATTTTAAGCGAAGCTTCCCCCCCCCCAATGCATTTTGCTGGATCCGCCACTGGTAAGTCATTTGCAGTATATCGTACCCAGTACGATTGTAATGTAAATTTCGTTCATAAATGCCGTATGACGACAACCTTCTGGCCATACAGGTACAATAGGGCAGCAATAAGTCGGCAGTTGGCTTCAACAACGACACCATTTCACACGCTGAAACTGAGAGCCACAAATGCACAGGCACGAAATTCCGCATGGGGGCGAGATCCGCGACGTTACCAGGGGGTCCGAGGCATGCTCCCCTGATCAATTTCGAAATCTAGACCCCTGAAACCTATTTCCTGTATTTTGAGTGGCAAATCTTATTGACAAACATAGTTTCAGCCCCCCCCCCCCCGTGCCACCGCCACTGAAAATGTACAAAAATACATGGAAATGAACACTTAATACAACGGTCCAGGAAAGCATCTAAATCACCGATCGTGTTTCCATCATCTTCTATTCTTAAAAGTAATACAAACGTTCAAGTGAATGTTGTCGAGTTCTTGAGTATAGGTGTGCGTTTTCACCTACACTGGCGTTAACATTGCTACAATCAAAAAAAATAAGTCAGGAGAGACAACAATGACATTCAATGTCAGGAACTGTCGCCTGGCACACAAAAGACGCGTGAACAGGAAGTCCATTATTTCCTAGTACCATTGCCAAATTTTGGAGAGTTGGGGAGACGGAAGACGTTCTAAAAATAAATTTAAAATATTCGATTAGCATATCAAAACCCTTCATTGGAACAGAATTTGTTCTATATTAACCAAAAACAAGTTGATGTGTTTCTTGAAACTAATTACAACTGACTCGAAACAAATGAAACCATCCATCCCTTTCGTTTCCGAGCGAAAACACATCGAGGCAAAAAACGACTGATTTTCGCCCAATCTTCTATGATTTTTTGATAATATCAAAATGATGTCCAGAGAACCAACATTATTGATGTAAATCACTCCGGCGACGAAAAATCGGCCATAATAGCCAAGAGAGTGAGGGACTGCATTTCATAAACTTATTTTAAATATAGGATATATAAAAACAACATTATTTGAACACATTTTATGTTTTTAGCTTATTTTGGGAGTCATGTTTTACAAAGTTGGAAAGCAACTTTAATATACTAGTATTACTAACAACAAGTATTCGTGAAATTTATTGATATACCTTAAAATATACTGATCGTTGTCATGTTATTTCAATGTTTGAGTCCCGACTTTCGAATGAAAACAATCCTAGAGGGCGTAACAAAATACCCGGATGAGAAAGAGCTTGTGGGGCTCATTTCAGGTCTCATGCCACTAATTAACCAATGGCTGCTCGTAGCTCGTAGTCAATTTAAATGCCTAGAAAGAACTAATGAAATTTTTTAAATATTATTTTTCTCAGGTGCTCCCTGTTTGAGGGCGTAATCACCTGGGTCAGAGGTGAGACCAACATGTGGTCTTTTGTTTACTACTTAGCGGCTGTGTACCTGTGGGTTTATTCTGTGTGTTAATGGATGTTCTAATCTTGGTGTTTTTCCAGTGATTTCTCTTGGTGCAATCCAAATACAGTAGGTGTGTCTTGTTTACCTGAGATTTGCAAGAGTTTGAGCTGGCCAACATGTTAGCTTTTTTCATATGGTTGATTACTGGCATGTTGATTTCCCATTTTTGAGCCATATTTTCAACTTTCTTCGTCATTTTCATATAGCAATCTTGTCATATGTTAACATTGTCGTCTATGGAAATTCAATCAGTGGTATGAGCCCTGAAATCCCGCATTTCAATGGAGGCGAGGCATCCACCGTGTCGCTGAGAACAACAACAATCCACGTCAAATATCGCTTTCCACCAATAAAATACTAACTGACTACATCATTAGAAATGGTAAGCTGATACTGTATTGCAAGTGGATGTTCGTCTGGTGCCATAAAAAGAAAAATTGAAAAACATTTCCAGAACTTGCCGACGTGATAATTCATGCCTTAGTATTCTATACTCTGGTACATTTAGGAGAAGCACATCTGCAGACCACGTACAAATACATTCTGGTGTATATTTCCTACACGGAAATTTCTTAAAATGATTTTGAAGACCAGCTAATGTACTAGTCTTTTCAAGAAAGTATAAAGAAGGTATTTTCTGTAAATGTTTGAACAAAAAACTGCGTCCAGCGTGATCGATCTGATAATGCTGAATATATACCGAATTAGAGTGAGCAACTGACGCGACATATCAAAAACGGTGTATGATCCAAAGAACCTTAACTGTCTCATGTTATGTTAGCGCCGATGTGTGCGTCATGGTTGTTTCCTGTGGTATATATACAAAATAAACATAACATGGAATTCCCAAGTCATTACGCACTTTACAGGCAATATGGAGACACGATTTTATTGATTCAGTCGTTGACTGGGTCACACATATGCTTAGATAACGACTACCCCATTTGTCATCGTTGTACGTACCACTCAGGAGCTGTTTAAATCTATTGTACTTCAGTGGATGTTTATAAGAGAAAAAATCACAAATTTATTCACTAGTGCTAACATCAATGAAATCAAAAGTTCATTCATTCATACAACAAGCATCACAATAAAAGCGCCCTCATTGACATAATTGTCAGGTGTGTATGTCCGTTGGGGGCGTAGTACATTCTTCGCCAACTTAGTATACGATTTTCTGCCATAAATTGAACAATTGGTGAGAAATGTTTTTTCACATAAAACACTCAGTAATAGGCAGCGAATCAGTCATATGCTCATCTCATAGCATAATACACATAATTATATACATTGTATTCGACTGTAAAACAGAAATTATGATCACCGCGTAATTATATCTTTTTGCAAATCAAACCGATGAAAGCAAGGCTCCAGAGCAGCAGTCCAGGCTGTGCTGCATTTGCGGTACTTTCGGTATCTATAACAACCAAATCATTTGAGATTAGCCCAGCGTTCTGTGTCGTTTCTGAAATGTAAAAGCAAATAAGGAATTGTAAGTCCTTATCGAATTTGGGTTTACTTAACATGAGTGTTGAATTTTAAACTAGTTAGCTAGGTAGAAACGCCGTGTTCATCTGATAACGATATATTGCGTATAACCGGACCCGATCATGTTATTTGTGTCGTGACTCCGCCATCGTTGACTGTTTCAAATGAATTACAACCAAATGTTAAAGCGGGGGAGTCGTCACCTGCGCATGCGTCAGATGGCAATAGCGTGTCAATGTTTACTCATGAATGTTTGCGTTTTTAGCGTGTGTTGTTTACGTCGCTTGGGACACAATTCCCGCGCGTGCGCAGGTGACGACCCTCTCGCTTTAATGATACACGATTCCAGTCATCACGGCTTCAAATTTTAATCATCGACAATCAGTACAATGGTTACTGACCAACTGCTTGACACCAAATGTGTGAACTACACCAGGACCAGCAAATGGACTACTGCAAAACACAAAGTTCATATCTAAATATTACGCACCTCTAACAGTGTACACTAGATCCATTCCGGCGTGAATGTGGTCATTAACGTGGCAATGAAAGAACCATT